AGATGGGCGTGTGTGTAGATGGGCGTGTGTGTAGATGGGCGTGTGTGTAGATGGGCGTGTGTGTAGACGGAAGTGTGACGTGAGAGCGTGTGGGTATAGGTGAGTGGATGGACGGGAGCGCGTACCTGCGAGGGCGACGAGGGCGGCGTGGGCGGGGGCGGCTAGCTCCAGCAGCGCCAGCGCCAGCCCCAGCACGGAGAGCACGGCCATGACGAGGCGCGCCCAGTCCACGTCGCGCAGCTCGAAGGCGCGCAGCAGCGGCACCTCCGACCACTCCAGGCCCCTGCAACGGCCCAGCACAACCACTCACAGCCAGCTCTCTACCCTACACCAATGCTTTGGAATGTTATCAATATTCTCCACAACGCCTGCATTCTCGTTCTTGGGCCAGGTTTTCTTTGCGACCGTTCTCACTGCATCCTCCACTGGGGTGATTGTTTTTCCCAGATGCTTTGGTGCAGTAGCCGGGTGATACTCGTTCGACAGACATGACCGAATCATTGGAATGGTCGTTTTTGAATGCCTGGTGGTGCTAGTAAGTGAGCGTCGTTGACGTTGCACTCCCCTCTGCATCTGGGTACACTTGACCCTTCGAACCAAAGGTGCCAAGCGAAGAACTGTCGCTTTTTACGCGTTGATTGATTAACGGTTCACGTGTACTACCTAAGGTAATTAGTCCCGCGAGTGTAGTTCATGTTTTAACCGCGGAGGTGGTGGTGATCTTTCACTACTGCAGAGCGAGACTTTGCGCCGACCTGCCCATCGGGGTTTTCCTCAACCATGTATCTCCCACCAGGGAGGCACCGCTCCAGCTCGGACCAGCGGTAAGTCCATGTTCGTCAATGTGTGGTAGTACATAACATGTAAGTGTAAGTACGGGGTGGGAGTAGGACAAGGAAGAGAAAGGAGATATTACGTGCAGTCCGTGGCCCGTTTCTTAGGGTACTACTCCGTCATTTTCCTGGTGTTGATCCGAGAAATCACCTATTCCATCAGCCGGCCACTGGAATTGTCCTTCAGACAGCGGATGAATCTAACTAGTGCTCAAAACCCCGCCACCGACGAGGCTCGAACCATAGGACCTCCGTGTCAGAGGCACTGCAATAACAACAGTTGATGAGCCTCCGCAGCTGGAGTAAGGAGAATGGAGAGGACAAGAATGAAAGGAGGGAACATGAACGACAAAGGGAATATCTCGCTCGTTCCAAGACACGTTTGTTAAGGCATTGCTGCGGCATTCACCTAGTGGTGATTAAAGGGACCTCCAATAAGAGCAGTCCGTCGCTAAAATTCAATCATCTCTCTTCATTCAGTGGGTCAATTCGACCCTGCTATCTAACTAATGACCAAAATGCGTGATTGTAGGGTTTTAAACAAGGATATCTGTCACCTTTGATGGAAACTCTTTGCCCCTGTGCAATCGTGACAGCGGTTATTACGTGATGATGATGACGATGATGATGATGATGATGATGATAATAATAATGATGTTGAATGTTCTTGTTGTTGTCTGACGGAGCGAATGTGAGTACTGTAAGGCACGGAAATTATCGAAATATTTCTGTTACTCTATTGTCATCTACTGAATCTTAGATGCGGCGCTAAACTGATGTAATTGTAATGTTACTTCATTAGCTCAACATATATAAAAATAAATATGAGAATGAGCAGCTCTCAGGAGGAGCATAATTAATTCAACTCAAGAGGTTCTCCGCCTGTAGGATAATTTTTTGTTGCTCACGGGCCTCAACATGTAAAATTGGTATCCAGTTATTGTTATTATTATTGTTGTTTTTTAAGAATCCGTTACAAATCCTGAGTCTAGATAGCACTACGTGCCAGCAAACTAAAATTAGTAATCTTCTTGTACAAACCAACATTATGACGTGACGATGTAAATGGTCTTTATTTTGAATATTCAGTAATTCAAGACTGTAATATGATTTGCGTCAATACAGCATTAACAGAAAAGGAAATAAATGACAGAGGGAAGGAAAGACATGAAGGAAAAAATAAATGAAGGAAAAAGAGAAAAAAGAAAAGAAAGAAAACGAAAAGAACGGAAAGGAAGAAAAGAAAGATAAAGAAGAAGAGAAAGAAACATTTTGAAGGTTTATTCTAGTATTTGTATCCACCACTTGTAGGTGGAAATGGTATGTAAAAATATTCAATTTATGGAAATGTTAATGAATTTGCAAGCAATTTCATTACGAATAAAAATTTCACCATTTTGCTTTGAAAAACGTGCTTATTACGCAATACAATTACACTACATTAACATTTTATCAACATCATGTAGTTACTGATCACTCGTTTGAAACGAAAGTAAATTGCAATAAAACGTGTTTATATTCACAAAGCAAATGAAAACGTAACCGCTTGAAAAAAACGACATGAATAAATCAGAATATGTGTAATAGATTTTGAATGGACGCTAATTGCGAACTGGATTGTGTTATAATTCCCTATTCTTTGATGAATTCTTTTAAAGCTTTCAAATTTTTGTATATTAAATTTAGTAGGATTTAAATTAATTGCTGTTTGTTCGGCATTTCTTTTAATTCCAACGCATGAAAATGTACCATCTCCTTGAAGATACAGTTTCACTTCGTTTTCCCCTCCGTTACACATTCCAAGACTTTACCGAAAATGTTCTCAACATTACTTACTTAATTAATTAATTGCCTTACATACGCACAAAATGTGATTCTGTTTACATAACGTGTTAGAGGATGTAATTTACTACAAAGACGACCCAACTGGAAGAATGGGAACTTTTCACTAAAACATTATAGTACTTCCTCTTAACTAAGTACGTAGTAAATGAGGAACTGAAGAGAGTTAGAAAAATGAAATTAATATTGGTTTGAGATTACAAAAGTAATGCAAATAGGTGACCTAATCAAGTACCACGACGACAAGAGTGCTGTCTTTAAGTGAAGGGAAGAGAGTCAGTACATCGAAATACTCGTAACAATCGCCTGTGGGAAATCGTATTTTTTTCTTTTGACTATACCCCGCTGGTGAGATTGTGAGACGGATACAGTACACATTGCTTGTAGGCTCGATGAGAAAGTAACAAGTCGCAACATGTAACTGCCACGCCGGTAAATGTAAATTATATTCAAAGGTGATACAAGTGTATATTCAAGGGTGATACGATTCACTGTAAAAGTAACACTGCAGTGATTTGTGAAATTATGCAATTACGTGTGCGCGAGAAAAGTCAGCGGCAGGTGGCACCGAGATCACATGCCAACGCTACACCAACCCATACTGCTAAAGAGTTCAGGAGTTAACCGTGGCCGGGAGAAATCAACCGAGAAGACACTGTCAGCATTAACGGTATAATTGATTATCGAAGATGGCAAAAACCAAAATATTCTCTTGTCTTTTATACACAGAAGGCTTTTTAATGTATTCCAAATTCAATCATTAAAGTCATTCAATCATTGCATATCGCAGGGTTCAGGATTTACTGAGACCAGAAAAATAAATTAATTATTTTCATGAACATTTTAATGGCTAAAGTAGTTATTAATGCATCGTTTCCGAGATATTTATCACAATCATGTTCACATTATTTGTTACTGGTCCGTCCGCCCCACCCTGCCTCCACCAATCATAAGCACCCTTCCATCCCACACCGCCCCGTCCCACACTGCCCAATCTTGAGGGCAATAGTTCCGTGATTTGAAAGTTATTGTGCAAAAAACGTTGATATCTATACTTCAATTTTGTCTAATATTTTAGCCCCATTTGTGGAATACATTGTTATGCTGTTTAATCGAAAGAAAATATGTATCTCGCATTACGTGCCTGCGCAAGGCTCTACGAATACATTTCGCTCTAGTTCGGTCTTCGACTCATCCCTAATCTCGTCTGTCTGCCCCACTCAGCTCGCCTCCCACTCCACTTATTCACGATTCCTCAGCGCCATGTTGCAGCTTGGCGCTGGTAGGAATTCTGATCGTTGTGTTTGCGGGCTGGCGAAGGATTGTTGTGGCAGCCCTGTCTGTCCGCGCCGTGCCGCTCTGCGTGCCGCAACCCTCCCTCGGGGGGGG